CGCCCCTACCTTGCCCCCCCGGCGGCTAGGCCTGGGTGTGCAGGGGTATGTGGTTTGTTAGGGAGCGAGTATAGTACGCATATAACATGAGAGCGATCTGCGGTATGTCTTAACATCATGCCAAAGTTTATAGACTAGGAGAACACTCAACAGAAGTTTGAGTGGACAATTACTTGGGAAAATTTGTGACTATATGAACTGTACCTCAAAAAAGTCTAATAGCGCGATCTTCGCGAGCAAAGTCGCGGAGAACTCGATCCAAATCGAGAGCCTTAGCGCGCGCTCTGTTGATGGACAGAACTCCAAGAGAACTTAGCCTCTCATCTGCCATAGTAGTTCTCAAATGGGTTTTCACCAATTTGAGAACGGAAAAGGACCGCTCACAGGAAGCTGTACTGGTAGGTAAGCATAGCGCGACGTGGCCCAGAAACATAAGGGTCGGCCATGCGAGCTTGAGACCATGCAGAAACGAGACCACATCAAGGACTGTAGCTAGTCCGACACAACCGTCATCCTTGAGCTCATTTTGGCGTCTCTCAACAGCACGAGCGGCAACCACAATCTCGCCAGCCAACTCATCAAGGTTACAGCCGTAGAGTTTGCCGAACTCCACCGTTTTAACTGGATCCAAAAAGAGGCAGTGAGCGGGGTTAAAACAGCAGACCCCATCATACACAATATAAGTGTCGAAATTGAACCTTTCATTCAGCTCGTTGAGGATGCTTTTCATGAAAGGTAGGAAAAGATGCTCGCATGCGTCTTCTACAGGACTCAGCTCGGATTCTGCTGAGCGGCGTGACAACCTTTTCTTGCCAAAGCGACGCGATTGGTCCAGCTCGTGCTTCTCTACGACCGCCATGGCATCTGACCAGATCCTTTGCCAGAGAGTACCATCTAACTCAGTGTCGTCTATGCAACATTGAATAGAACTTTTGAGCTCCTCAATAAGCAGTCGCGTTCCACTGAGGTCAGAAGATGGATCCTGGAGGAGCTTGGAAGCCTTATCAGTCATTCCAAGAACACCATGCATAGTGTACAGAGTAACGACAAAGACCTGGTCGATTCTGCACACAAGACCCTCTGCTTCTCCGGCTCGTTTTGGTGGATGCGACGATGCGACCTCATCCAGTGTCAGAACGATGGCGTCAAGCGTAGCAACGAAAGCGTCACAAGCTTCCGCCTGACAGCTCCACCTCGTATCGACGATCCGCTTTAGAGTGCGGAGTCGAGTACCATCACCATAGGCCTTCTTCTGTTGTCTCTCAAATTCACTGTGGACGACAGAGATCTTGAAAAACCGATCAAAATCAGCCATGGTGTAGAAAAAAGAAGCCACTTTCTCCACATCCTTGACCGATTTTTGAATACACAGGTTTAGCCTATGGTTTGAACAATGGAGGTACGGCGCTGTGCAGCCAGCTTTCTGTTGGAACACCTGAGATTATTGGATGAGCGTGAAAAATCAACATGTTGGTTACCTTATGGACCCCTTTCCTGTTTCCAGACATCACCGATGCCCCATCGTAACCTTGAGAGGTACAGCGAGATGTGTCCATACCAATAACATCTAATCTCTCTATCATCGCACTCGCAATCCCATTCGAGTCTAGATCTTCCAAGCCGACGAATCCCAGGAACGACTCTTCGACCAAGAATGGCTCCCCCACCTTTTGAGGCCTACAGTAGCGTACGCATAGTGCCAGTTGCTCCGTACCGGCTTCGTCCCTGGTCTCGTCACCCAAGATACAATAGGGCTGATCACCGATCTCGTCCACAATATCTTTGACGATCATGTCAGCCATAGTCTTCACGAGACCGTTCTGGATTTGTGGGCTCGTATACACCGCATTCCTTGGGCCCTCGGCTAGCCTGGACGATGTCACCTTATCAAAGGAACTTATCAGTTTCATGAGCTCCCGAAAGTTACCCTGATTAACAGAGGTAGCTTCCTCAGAGTGACCTCGAAAAGCTACATTCTGGAAGGAGCAGAACAACAAGGCCTTGCAAACGGTCTTGATGTACATACGATTCTCCAATAAGGTACTCTCGTCGTGTTTGGCAAGAAGAGCCGAGACCGATTGTTCTTTCTCTGCAGCAGCCTTCCACGTTGCCCACCTCACCATCGCCTCCTTGTGACCGGCGCTAGCCTTATGAGCGTTCAGTTTTTCAACGCCCTTCTTGAAGTTACTGAAGCCAGAGGACACGAACGAGCCATTTGGCGGACCGAAACCGGCAGCTGCTGGTGGGTAAAAGAAACGGCAGGCGAAGCAGTATGCCTTATCGGTAGATCTGCTCCACTCGAGCCAAGGATTACCAACATACCAGTCAGCTTGGAATGGACGCCCTTGTGCGTTCGGTAAAAAGCCGGCCTTAGGTTGCAAGGGCTCACCGGACTTGGACTCAGCAATATCGGCGGGTACCTCGCCACTCGGGTTACCAGCAGGCCTAGCGCGCTTAGAGCCTTCCAAAGGCTCCTGACCTTCACGGACGCGCTTCATCATCACGGCAAAGGCAGATTGAGCAGAGCTGGATGAGGAGGACATTTCGCAAGTTTACAATGGAGTACTTTAAGTGTCAATGAACACGCACGCATGTACATTGCGCAATCTACACGCATGCGCAGTAACATTTTTTAATAAATGGTAATTTCGGAGTGAAACTTTCCAAAACGAAAAAATAAAAGAATTTAGTAGGACCCTCTG